CCTAAGATGGGAGTGTATGTCTACTCAAAATGAAGTGAAAGAAAATAATAAAAACGAATCTAAAACAAAACATAAAAATAATTGAAAGTCATTAAAAAAAATAAGACGGGCCGGGCAGTGGTGGCGCACGCCTTTAATCCCGGTACTCAGGAGGCAGAGGCAGGGGGATCACAATGAGTTCGAGACCAACCTGGTCTACAGAGCGAGTTCCAGGACAGCCTCCAAAACAATACAGAGAAACCCTGTTTCAGAAAAAAAAAAAAGCAAACAAAAAGAGACGAAGGGCGACAAGATGGCTCAGTGCGCCAAGCCTTAGACCCGGGCTCGATCCCATGACAAGGAGGAAGGAGAGGCCTGACTTGAGCTCGTTGTCCTCTGACCTCCACAAGTGCGCACATGCCCTCAGTCCCAAGCACTAGTAAAAAATTCTCAATAGGATAAAGTGCAAAGTAAACTAATTTTAAAGACCAAATAACTTTTAAAAAAAAGGAAAATAAAATGCACTCTTGGCTGTTAGGGCACCGCATCTCAGGTAAGTGGCCGGCGGACACACCACAGGCGTTCAGTAAACATGCAGGGCGTGGCGGCAGGGGTGGTGAGTTGGCACACAGTAGGCGCTGCTGCGTAAGGGCGCACACTTGTCACGCAGCACACGCGAGGGAGGCAGGAGGATCGGGGCTCCAGGCCAGCCTGGGCTCCACACTGCCCCCGAGGCTAGCCTGGGCTACCGGAGACCTGGTCTCAGAAATTCACAACTTGAATATAAAAAGCACTCCTTTCTGGAGAGTTCCCATAGCCCCTTCTACAAAGCCGCGAGTCCGGCCCGTGGCCTCGCAGGGACCAATCAGGACGCGAATCCGGGCATTACCTCATCGGGAAGCACGGCCATTGGCTGCAGGTCCCTGCTGCGGTTGAATCATCACAGCGCCTGCGCAGACTCCGGGGCCTCTGCGGGCTGCTTTGGGGGCTAAAAGGGAAATATGGGCGCCCCTCCCCCAGCTCAAAAGATCAGCGTGCGAGAGATTCTAAAACCCTGCTCCCTGTCCCTGCCGTCCCAAATTCTGCTTGGAGACACCATGCCCCTAGTCACACCGCACCTCACTTTGGAGACAGGGATGCAGCTGTGCAAAGGCCCGGGCCGGGAGCAAGGCCATGCGTGCAAAGACCCTGGAACTGGGGACATGGCCGGCCGTGCAAAGACAGGACAGAGCCTGGCAGTTATAGGAGCAGGGAGGAGGCCTGTGTGGTTGCAGCAGATGTGGAGGCAGATGTGGAGACAGGAGGTGCGGGGCAGGGCGCAGAGAGCCTCATGGGCTTCAGAGAGGACGGGCCTTCTGTCTGAAGGAGGCTGGAGCCTTGGAGGGCTGTGGGCAGAGGGGGAGAGAGTTGACTCGGTGGTCACAGGAAGTAGATGATAGTGTAGACATTCTGTGCTCTGTGTGCTGGAGGAAGTAGGTCGTGGGCCCCTCCCCGTGGCTCGCTCACTGAGCAGGAGTGGGGCTGCGGCTCCCCGTGCTCCAGGCCGAGTGCATGAGTAAGCCACTGCAGGCGACAGTGGCAGCTCATGTATACACTAGGTGGTGACTCAATGCTGTCCGTGGCTGCGGTGACTACTCCTGAGTCACACAAACCCCTGTGATGTTGCATGCCAGGCTCAGCCGTTACTCATTCTAGGCTCCCAGGTGCAGCCGTGGCTTAGTCTGACCACCAAATGCCACTCTGGAGCGGGGATGTCTTTGGTGTGGTCGCCTGTCTGCCTCGAACCCTCCATGGCTCCCTATTCTCCCCAAAGTCCACTCTCCTCGTGGTGGAGTCCAGACTGTGTGTCCATTCTAGGTTCTGGCTTCCCTCCCGGGGCACCAGCCACTGTCATTTGTCTGCACACTGACTTCCAATTTGTCACCAAGCCCAGCCCTGCAAGCCCCAGCCTCCAGCAAGTCTGTGCAAGGCTCTGCTATCCGGCAGCTGTACCTGACCCCACGGGTCACCCATCTTGGAAGTCGCCACAGTAGCTCCCCAGTGCCTGCCACACCCCTTCCTTTATGAGCATCCTGACTTAGCTTCTGAACTCTGCACCTCAGGGACTCTTGTCCCCAGCAGTCCCTCCTCTCTTCTCAGTGTCCTGTCCCTCTGTCATCCCAACCCTGCCACACGCCGGGTGGAGCTTGCTGATTGGCCAGACTACCAATGAGCCCTGTGTCCTCCTGTCTGCCACCCCCCAGTGCCCTGAAGCCCCAGAGGCCATTGCACCCTCTGCCCTAAACCCCTTCCCAGTTGGGGTACGAAGGTCCCCTCCTCAGGAGTTGATGAAAACTAACCCAGTCCCAGGAGCCCCAGTGTCCCATGTGGCCTGGGAGCAGGGGGTCCCCACTTCTCCTCCCACCTCCATGTGACAGGAGATCGAGGCCACCAGCATGGATGCGCAGCCACGGAGGCCACAGTAGGGACAGATCCCAGCCTGTGGCCTCTTCTTGCTCCCAAGCCTCAGTCTCCCCATGTGTGTAGGAGACATGGGCTGTTAACCTAGGTGACAATCTACTGGGTTCTGTCCTGAGCTTGGGGGCAGTGTGACAAGTGGCAGGGTCTCCCTTCCCACTTATGTTTAAGGACAAGTGAGTACTTCCAAATGTCCCTAAGAGAGGGACACCAGGGTCTGCTCTGCTGTCCTGGAGCTATGAACTTGGCACTGCTGTTTGATGGCTTGGGACTGGAAAATACACACATGGTCCAGGCTTATGAAGAAGAATCAAATTCTTTGTGGTGTCTCTGGTGTTCCCCCGACCTGTCTGCCATAGTACATGTTCAGTGTCTTGGTGCCCCTAACAAACACCATCACCACCACCATCAGCATCACCATCACCACCTTTACCAAATCACCACCATCACCGTCACCACTGTTACCACCATCACCATTGACGACATCACCACCATCACCATCACACACCATCAGCATCACCATTGTCACCACCATCACCATTGACGACATCACCACCATCAGCATCAGCATCACCACCATCACCGTCACCATTGACACTAGCATCACCATCTCACCAACATCATCAATACTATCATCTTCACCTTTGCAGTCTACCCAGCATTCGCTGTACCCCGAGACACTGTTCAGAATGGACGCTGGATGTGGTTGGCCAGTCCAGGCCTTTGTCCTTCAGGGTCTCCTGTGGTCCTTGTTCCCGTTTTACTGATGTGCAAACTGATGCTTAGAGAGGGGACCCAGCTGGCCCGAGGCCACATGGTGAGTGAGTGGCGGGGGGTCATATCAGGTGTAGGAGATCCGGTGCACTGTGAGCCGATGGCAGGCTGGGAGCTGAGCCCACACCCCTGTCCATGTGGCTGGAACTGGGTTTGCAGATGCTCACCGAGCTCACTTGTCACCAGCTCCGCGGAACTCTGATAAATCGAGAGAATTAAAATCCATTTAGAGGGAAATCTCTAAATAGGCCTGTGTTGTGTTTTCTGCTTTTCCCTTTCCCTTCCCTGCTGTCTCCGACTGGTAATGTATTCCAGACGCAGAACGGAGGCTGACTTAATTGAATTTAAAAGCAGGTGTTACGTCTGCCCGGTGTGAAGCAAAGCAGTGGAGGACGCCAAGGACAGCGGACAGCGCGTGGGTTTACTGCGTGTGCCGCTTTGTACCACGGAAGGAGAGTGGAGTACCTCTTGGGAATCCAGGGCCGATACGCGTGAGGACACCCCAAAAGATCAGGGCCCCAGGTGGGCTGGGGAGATCCAGGCATCTGGAAGGTGAACGGATGAACCCAGGCAACTCTCACTTCTGACTTTACTGGAACTTCGTCTCAGACAGCCCAACCGCATTAGCACCAAGGGGCCCAGTTCTCACTGGGGGATTCTAGATGGGGCTCCACCCCTGGCCACGCCCCCAGCCCTCACTGGGGGATTTTACATAGAGCTCCATCCGTGACTCCATCTGCAGTTCTTTGGATTTTGAATTTAAATCTGTTTAATGGGTGGGTGCCTTGTTCACATGTATGTCTGTGCACCATACTCATAGCCGGTGTCCGCAGAGGCCAGAAGAGGGCTTTGGTTCCCTGGAGCTGGAGTAACAGACCATTTCGAGCTGCCTTGTGGGTGCTGAGAATCAAACCCAGGTCCTCTCCAAGAGCAGCCGGTGCTTATAACTGCTGAGCTATCTCTCCTGCCCCTCAAGGTCGTTTTTAGGTGGAGTCTCACTGAGTTGCCTACACTCTCTTTGAATTTATGATCCTCCTGCCTCAGCCTTCCAAGTAGCTGGTATTACCATAGGCTTCCCCCACCGGGCTTTGCTTCTAACTCCGTCATTAAGTGATGAATCCCTGTTGTGTCTCTGTGTCTATTCATTTGCTTCTCTGGAGACCTTTCTGTAAGTTGGGTCATAGTGTCTTAGGTCTATTGCTATGAGGAGACACCGTGACCACGGCAACTCTTGTAAAAGGAAGCATTTAACTGGGGTTTGCTTACAGCTTCAGAGGGTTAGTCCGTGATCTTCATGGCGGGGAGCAGACAGGCATGGCCTGGAGCAGTAGCCAAGAGCCACATCCTGATCCACAGGGAAAGGGAGAAGGAGTGAGGCTGGGCCTGCTGTGGACTTTTGAAACCTCAAAGCCCAGCCCAGTGACACACTTCCTCCAACAGGGCCACACCTCCTAATCCTTCCCAAACAGTTCTATTATCTGAGGACCATGCTTTAAAAACTTATGAGCCAATGAAGGCTGATCACATTCAAACCGCCCAACACAATATGTATGTATGTATGTATGTATGTATGTATACTACATTACACACACACACACACACACACAGGGTTTCCATATGAGGTTTCTGTCGCTGAATGTAACAGCCTCACCTACACTGCACCATGTGTCACATCTTCTTTTTGTGGCTGAATAATATTTCTTTGTATAACGGGCGTGTCATGCTCATGCAGTCATTTGTGCATGGGTTGTTTCCAGCTGTTTACTATTGCGAATGCTGTGGCACATCTGTTACAGCAGCTGTGTTCCATCGCTGCGGGTCAACACCTAAAAGGTGGAACAGTTGGTTCATATAATAACTCTGTGTCAAGAACCAGGGTTTTTCCATGTGGCCCTGGATATCCGGGAGCTCTTTCTGCAGACCAGGCTGGCCTTACACTCAGAGATCTGCTTGCCTCTGCCTCCCAAGTGCTTGGGTCAACGATGTCAATCAGTTCTGCTTCCTGCTCTCCCAGAGGAGCCTGCCTGACTCGGTTCCCAGGACCCACAAGAGGACTGACAACCACTGTAACTCCAGCTCCAGGGGATTTGACGCCCCCTTCTGGTCTCAGCGGGAACCGTACTCATGTTCACACACAAAATTAAAAACATCTCTTGTCATGGGACACCAGTGACTCATGTTCTGAACCCAGCAGACCACACAGCACCGAGGGGACACCTCCCATGCTTCTCAGCAGGCTGTGGTCCCCCTCTCCCTACAACCCAGACTCGTGCCCTTGAGAAAGAGGAAGAGGGCTCCCTCTGCCTCCCGGCTGTTATTCAAACCTGTCCAATCGATGCCTATGTTTTAGAGCCTCAGAGCCTTGGTGATGGATGAGGGTGGGGGTGCGAGGAAGCCAGTGGAATTTTCTCTGTTTCAGCACTCGGCAGACTTTCTTCAAAAAGCTATCTGGCCCCATCTCTAAATGAGAAAGCCATTAAACACACACTCACTCACAGGCTGCAGACAGCATCTCATGTCTAAAAAAAAAAAGAAGAAGAAGGAGGAGGCAAGGCAATTAATACACAGCACAAATGTTGCCTTTTGCAGGAGGAGACCAAGTTCCAGCTGGGAGCAGCAGGGGCAGAAGGGACTCCTCCCCAGCGTGGGCTCCAGAAGCACAGACAGGGCCACAAGCACAGTTCCTTTGCAAAAACCCTCAGATAGGGACAGATGGATAACTTGTGCTCCAGTCTTCCCCTCAAAGGTTGGGCCTCCCTGCCCAGCCTGGCCTTGTCTAGGGGTCTGCAATACAGAGCAGCCTCATGGGGCCATTTGTCCCTTCATTCAACTGTGAGTCCTTACTTGGCACTGGGAAGGAGGCGGAGGAGAGGACAGAGGAGGAGATGAGGGAGGAGATGGAGGAGGAGATGGAGGGGGAGATGGAGGGGGAGATGGAGGGGGAAATGGGGGAGGAGATGGGGGAGGAGATGGAGGGGGAGATGGAGGAGGAGATGGAGGAGCAGATGGAGGGGGAGATGGAGGGGGAGATGGAGGGGGAAATGGGAGAGGAGATGGGGGAGGAGATGGAGGGGGAGATGGAGGGGGAGATGGAGGGGGAAATGGAGGGGGAGATGGAGGGGGAGATGGGGGAGCAGATGGAGGGGGAGATGGAGGGGAGATGGAGGAGGAGATGGAGGAGAAGATGGAGGGGGAGATGGAGGGGGAAATGGGGGAGGAGATGGGGGAGGAGATGGAGGGGGAGATGGAGGGGGAGATGGAGGGGGAGATGGAGGGGAAATGGGGGAGGAGATGGGGGAGGAGATGGAGGGGGAGATGGAGGGGGAGATGGAGGGAGAGATGGAGGGGGAGATGGGGGAGCAGATGGAGGGGGAGATGGAGGGGGAGATGGAGGGGGAGATGGAGGGGAGATGGAGGGGGAGATGGAGGGGGAGATGGGGAGGAGATGGGGGAGGAGATGGGGAGGAGATGGAGGGGGAGATGGAGGGGAGATGGAGGGGGAAATGGGGGAGGAGATGGAGGGGGAGATGGAGGGGAAGATGGAGGGGGAGATGGAGGGGGAAATGGGGAGGAGATGGGGGAGGAGATGGAGGGGGAGATGGAGGGGGAGATGGAGGGGGAAATGGGGGAGGAGATGGGGGAGGAGATGGAGGGGAGATGGAGGGGGAAATGGGGGAGGAGATGGGGGAGGAGATGGAGGGGAGATGGAGGGGAGATGGAAGGGAAATGGGGGAGGAGATGGGGGAGGAGATGGAGGGGAGATGGAGGGGAAATGGAGGAGCAGATGGGGGAGGAGATGGAGGAGGAGATGGAGGGGGAGATGGAGGGGGAAATGGGGGAGGAGATGGGGGAGGAGATGGAGGGGGAGATGGAGGGGGAGATGGAAGGGGAAATGGGGGAGGAGATGGGGGAGGAGATGGAGGGGGAGATGGAGGGGGAAATGGAGGAGCAGATGGGGGAGGAGATGGAGGGGGAGATGGAGGGGGAGATGGAGGGGGAAATGGGGGAGGAGATGGGGGAGGAGATGGAGGGGGAGATGGAGGGGAAATGGAGGAGCAGATGGGGGAGGAGATGGAGGGGGAGATGGAGGGGAGATGGAGGGGGAAATGGGGGAGGAGATGGGGGAGCAGATGGAGGGGGAGATGGAGGAGATGGAGGAGCAGATGGAGGGGAGATGGAGGGGGAGATGGAGGGGGAAATGGGGGAGGAGATGGGGGAGGAGATGGAGGGGGAGATGGAGGGGGAGATGGAGGGGAAATGGAGGGAGAGATGGAGGGGAGATGGGGGAGCAGATGGAGGGGGAGATGGAGGGGGAGATGGAGGAGATGGAGGAGGAGATGGAGGAGAAGATGGAGGGGGAAATGGGGGAGGAGATGGGGGAGGAGATGGGGAGGAGATGGAGGGGAGATGGAGGGGAGATGGAGGGGAGATGGAGGAGATGGAGGAGGAGATGGAGGAGAAGATGGAGGGGAAATGGGGGAGGAGATGGGGGAGGAGATGGGGGAGGAGATGGAGGGGGAGATGGAGGGGGAGATGGAGGGGGAAATGGGGGAGGAGATGGAGGGGGAAATGGGGAGGAGATGGGGGAGGAGATGGAGGGGAGATGGAGGAGGAGATGGGGGAGGAGATGGAGGGGAGATGGAGGGGGAGATGGAGGGGGAGATGGAGGGGAGGTGGGGGAGCAGATGGAGGGGAGATGGAGGGGGAAATGGAGGGGGAGATGGAGGAGGAGATGGAGGGAGATGGAGGGGAGATGGAGGAGGAGATGGGGGAGGAGATGGGGAGGAGATGGAGGGGAGATGGAGGGGAGATGGAGGGGGAAATGGGGGAGGAGATGGAGGGGAGATGGAGGGGGAGATGGAGGGGAGATGGAGGGGAGATGGAGGGGAAATGGGGGAGGAGATGGAGGGGGAGATGGAGGGGGAGATGGAGGGGGAGATGGAGGGGGAAATGGGGGAGGAGATGGGGGAGGAGATGGAGGGGAGATGGAGGGGGAGATGGAGGGGGAAATGGGGGAGGAGATGGGGGAGGAGATGGAGGGGGAGATGGAGGGGAGATGGAGGGGAGATGGAGGGGAAATGGGGGAGGAGATGGGGGAGGAGATGGAGGGGAGATGGAGGGGGAGATGGAGGGGAAATGGGGAGGAGATGGGGGAGGAGATGGAGGGGGAGATGGAGGGGGAAATGGGGGAGGAGATGGGGGAGGAGATGGAGGGGAGATGGAGGGGAGATGGAAGGGGAAATGGGGAGGAGATGGGGGAGGAGATGGAGGGGGAGATGGAGGGGGAAATGGAGGAGCAGATGGGGGAGGAGATGGAGGGGGAGATGGAGGGGAGATGGAGGGGGAAATGGGGGAGGAGATGGGGGAGCAGATGGAGGGGGAGATGGAGGAGGAGATGGGGGAGGAGATGGAGGGGGAGATGGAGGGGAGATGGAGGGAGAGATGGAGGGGAGATGGGGGAGCAGATGGAGGGGGAGATGGAGGGGGAGATGGAGGGGGAGATGGAGGGGGAGATGGAGGGGGAGATGGAGGGGAGATGGGGAGGAGATGGGGGAGGAGATGGGGAGGAGATGGAGGGGGAGATGGAGGGGAGATGGAGGGGGAAATGGGGGAGGAGATGGAGGGGAGATGGAGGGGGAGATGGAGGGGGAGATGGAGGGGAAATGGGGGAGGAGATGGGGGAGGAGATGGAGGGGGAGATGGAGGGGGAGATGGAGGGGGAAATGGGGGAGGAGATGGGGGAGGAGATGGAGGGGGAGATGGAGGGGGAAATGGGGGAGGAGATGGGGGAGGAGATGGAGGGGAGATGGAGGGGGAGATGGAAGGGGAAATGGGGGAGGAGATGGGGGAGGAGATGGAGGGGGAGATGGAGGGGAAATGGAGGAGCAGATGGGGGAGGAGATGGAGGGGGAGATGGAGGGGAAATGGGGGAGGAGATGGGGGAGCAGATGGAGGGGAGATGGAGGAGGAGATGGAGGAGCAGATGGAGGGGAGATGGAGGGGAGATGGAGGGAAATGGGGAGGAGATGGGGAGGAGATGGAGGGAGATGGAGGGAGATGGAGGGGAAATGGAGGGAGAGATGGAGGGGAGATGGGGAGCAGATGGAGGGAGATGGAGGGGAGATGGAGGAGATGGAGGAGGAGATGGAGGAGAAGATGGAGGGGAAATGGGGAGGAGATGGGGGAGGAGATGGGGAGGAGATGGAGGGGAGATGGAGGGAGATGGAGGGAGATGGAGGAGATGGAGGAGGAGATGGAGGAGAAGATGGAGGAAATGGGGAGGAGATGGGGGAGGAGATGGGGGAGGAGATGGAGGGGAGATGGAGGGGGAAATGGGGGAGGAGATGGAGGGGAAATGGGGAGGAGATGGGGGAGGAGATGGAGGGGAGATGGAGGAGGAGATGGAGGGAGATGGAGGGAGATGGAGGAGGAGATGGAGGGGGAAATGGAGGGGGAGATGGAGGAGGAGATGGAGGGGAGATGGAGGGGAGATGGAGGAGGAGATGGAGGGGGAGATGGAGGGGGAGGTGGGGGAGCAGATGGAGGAGGAGATGGAGGGGGAGATGGAGGGGGAGATGGAGGGGGAGGTGGGGGAGCAGATGGAGGGGGAGATGGAACCTTTGCCGCCTGGGGACATCAGTTAACAGACAGACTAGCCCTCATTTTCCTGGAGCTCAACGTTGTCAGCACTGTGCAGTCTGGACGATAAGGTGCCAGGCTGCTTGTCTTTTGCACTGTGGAGGTCGCTCCTTCCTCATGGTTGCTGTCAGTATGGGAGGTCCCCAAAGGGTGACAATTAAGGGTGAAGAGGCATTAGTTGCAGGTCGGTGAGTGGAGATGAGGTGGAAGAATGCAGTCATGAGCTTACAAGGAACGTGGAAAGTAACAAGAAGTTTGTGCTTTCTGTTGAGGGCACAAGGGAGCCTTAGAGAGATGTGGAGGGAGAGAGTCAGAATGCTCTGAAAATGGATTGATCCTTCCGGCTGCTCTGTGGATGCCTGGAGGCTGTCAGGAGGCCTCACAAGAGGCTGTTTCGTGTGAGCAGGATCTGCCCTATGCATATGGTGGCTATGGAACCTGCAGGGGGCTGGGTAGGAGAGACTGGAAGCATCTTTTCTTAGCTACCATGGGGTGAAGACACAGAGGAGCTAGGTGGGACTTGGGCGTCAGCATTGCACTGGGGTCAGGTCCATGGCATCTGGGAGACATCTGGAAGGAGACGTGAGGAGGGCTGGAGGGAGGGTTGCTGCTGAGTGTGTACACACAGGTTAGTGTAAGATGCATGCTACCGACAGAGCCCAGCTTTGAGCTTGAGTATCTCAGGCCCAACTCGAAGGTGAGAGATTATCAGTAAATAAAGGAGGAGGACGGAGAGGAAGACAGTGAGGAAGAGGAGGGCGAGGAGCAGGAGGAAGAGCAAGAAACAGAGGAGGGGGAGGAAGAGACAGAGGGAAGGCAGAGGAGGTCGCACTTCCGTCCTCGGCAGCCCTCAGCGAGGTCGGACCCTGGGGGCTTTTCAAATATCTGCCTGCGGCCTTCCGGGTCACGTGATGCAGACCAGTCAGACCTGCGTGAACCAAACAAGAGTCCCAGAATGATAGCTGCAGTGATTGGCTAGAGTGCTGGGCAGGGAATGGAGTGGGGAGCAGCCCCCCACCCCGCTCCTTCCCCCTCCCCCTCCCCCCGCCCTCCCCGCCCCCTCCAAACTGAAGTCGTCCTGGAAGTCACAGCTGTGTCCTTTCCCCCTCGGCCTCTTGTCCACCCTGCTCAGAGGGCTGCTGGGCACACAGAGGAAAGGGGCGGGGTTGGGAGGTTCCCTGGCAACAGCAATGCTGGGCCTCGTTTCCAGAAGGTGTGGAAGGGAGAGGTGGGGAACCACCTGAACTTTGTCACATAGAAAGACCTCATGATGTCTCTTAAGGGATGGAGAATGGCTGGACAGGCTAAGAAGTTTCAAGACAGGAGCATGGGTGCGGAAGTCACAACCGTGACTCCACAGTAGAGACTAACGCTGAGTGACAGCAGAGATGGATTGTACTAGAAGAATGGTGAGCACAGGCAGGCAAATGGATGGGTGGACAGATGGACGGATGGACAGACGGATGGACGGGTGGAGAGTGGATGGATGGATGGATGGATGGATGGGTGGATGGGTGGATGGGTGGATGGATGGATGGGTGGATGGGTGGATGGATGGATGGATGGATGGATGGATGGATGGATGGATGGAGAGTGGATGGATGGATGGATGGATGGGTGGATGGGTGGATGGGTGGATGGGTGGATGGGTGGATGGATGGATGGATGGAGAGTGGATGGATGGATGGGTGGATGGGTGGATGGGTGGATGGGTGGATGGGTGGATGGATGGATGGGTGGATGGAGAGTGGATGGATGGATGGATGGATGGGTGGATGGGTGGATGGGTGGATGGGTGGATGGGTAGATGGATGGATGGAGAGTGGATGGATGGATGGATGGATGGGTGGATGGGTGGATGGGTGGATGGATGGATGGAGAGTGGATGGATGGATGGATGGGTCGATGGGTGGATGGGTGGATGGGTGGATGGGTGGGTGGATGGATGGGTGGATGGAGAGTGGATGGATGGATGGATGGGTGGATGGGTGGATGGGTGGATGGGTGGATGGGTGGGTGGCTACATGGCATCTCCCTCTGGTGACTTCTCTTCTCTCCCTTCCTCTTTCCAACATTCTCCTAGTCTGGTAACCCAACCTATACTTCCTGCCTGGCTATTGGCCAAAACAGCTTTATTTATCAGCCAATAAGAGAAAAGCATATATTCACAGCATACAGAAGAACCTCCCCCATCAGTAGATGGGTGAATGGATGGATGAGAGGGTGGGTGGGTGGATGGACAGACGGACGGGTGTGTGATATGTGTTAACTGTGTCACTCTTTTTCTCCCTTTTCCTCTTCTTGCTCGTCCTAGATTCTTCCTCCTCCTTTTTCTCTTTACTCGCCAGTCCTCCTATCCCTCTTCTGTCTAGCTATTGACCATTCAGCTGTTTTTTTGGGGGAAGGGGGGCTGGAGACAGGGTTTCTCTGTGGCTTTGGAGGCTGTCCTGGAACTCACTCTGCAGACCAGGCTGGTCTCAAACTCACAGAGATCCGCCTGCCTCTGCTGAGTGCTGCGATTAAAGGCGCGTACCATGGCTGTCCCGCTCAGCTGTTTATTAAACAAATCAGGTGCCTTAGGCAGGTGAGGTGGAACATCTTTACATAGTTAAACAATTATTATGCAACACAAACAAATGCAGCACATGTTTACGTAGTTAAATGTTCCTCAACACTGATGTTTCCATTTTTCTCTCTGTAGGTTTTGACACCATCCTCCATGCTCAGGATATGTGGCTACCTGAGAGCAGTGAACAGATGTTTTTGGTGATACTTCACAAAAATGCCTGTGGCTCTGGCAGCCAATCAGCTCTGTCCCTTGCCTGTTTTTTCATAAGAAGAATATCTTAGTGTTCTAATCAGCCTCCTCATCCCTCACTAACCCTGGACTCTCTTTGGGAATGAGTGAGCCCCAACAGTGTCCTATCCCACCCTTTGAGAGGCTGAGGCTCATCGGTCCCGCAGTTCAGCACTAGGCTGGGCATCACAGGGGAACGCGTGTCAAGAGCAAAAAGGAGCTGTGGCACCCACACCAGAGGCACCCGTGCCTGTGTAGGTCGCCAGCACCCACACCAGAGGCACCCGTGCCTGGTTAGGTCGCCAGCACACACCGTTTGTTTCCTCTGAATTCCTTTCTGCCTCCTCCTGAGAGTTCAGCTTTTCATTCACAGCCACGGCCAGCAACATCCTTCATAACAGGTTCCAGGTTTCAGGAAGAGGAAAACTTTGAAGGGAAATATCCAGGAAGTCCTGGTTGGGCTGTGCGCAGGTGGCGAAAGATGTGTGTGTCCCTTTGTTCCCTTGTTGCCGTGTGACCCATGACCCTCTCAGCTCCCTAGTCTCCTTGTCTGAAAATATTTTCAATTACCCTTGGGTCATCAGTCACTGCTTGTCTGTCTGTCGAGGTCTTACTTGTAGCTCAAGGTGGACAGAGGTCCATCTTATCTTCCAAGTTCGGGGGTGACAGTCAAGTGCCACATCTCTGACAAGGGACCAAGGTTTGAAGTGAGGTTTCCAGGGGCTGAGTATTCATCCTCCCCCAGGCTGAGCCCTGGGGACTCAGTGTGCCCGCGGGATGCCGGTGGTCTAGCCTCGGATCCCTCGACCTTCCTCCACCTTTGACTCCACGCTGTCTGCCCATCCCCCCACTTCCATCAGCCAGGACCTGGTGTGTTTTCCCTCGATGACATTTGGAGTCTTTTAATAGTTGTCACATTAGCATACATTTGCATATGTTATGGTAATCAGGCGATTTATTTTTGATGGAGCACTTTGCCTCTGTGGGGCCTTCAGTCACCTGGGATGTCTCACTGGGTTTTGCCTCAAGAAATGTCTACTTCCCTGAGGTCGCTGAGAAATCGTGTCGCAGCCCAGGACAGCAGCCACAGGTGCCTGACCAGCCAGGACTTTGATGAACACGTGGACCATATCTGAACTTTCATTCATTTGTTCCTTTATTTAGGTTTGCTCCACACTCAGGGAACTATGTAGCCCAGGCTGGCCTCGAACAGCCAATCCTCCTGCCTCTACCTCCCAAGTGCAGGAATGATCATTGTGCACTCTGACAGTAAAAAAAAAAAAAAAAAGAAAAGAAAAGAAAAGAAAAAAGTAGATTAGATTCCAACCAGTGCACTGGCCATGCTGGCACTCAGGGGGCTGAGGCAGGGGAACGGTGAGTTCCAGGAAAGCATGCGCATAGTGAGCGCTGTCTGGTGAAAGTAAGTTCTGGGGACCTGGCTCAGTGGTGAGCGCCTGCCCGGTGTGCCCCAGGGTGTGCTTTAGCAGAGAGAAGACACAGAGACCCCAGGCACGCTGGTCCCCCATTTCTTTACTCTGGAAACCGACCATCTCCTGACACCACGCTCCCAGCAAACCTTCCCTTCTATCCCTGGGGTGTCAAAGAAAGATATGCCCAGTCCTGGGGCGGTGACATTTGTAAAACACAAAGTTTACGCGTTTTTCCATACACAACGGGAAGCACTTTGATTGATCTTGATCAGCATTGGAAGAGGCATTGGCGGTGGGGGCTGTGTGGCTTCGCCCGGACCAGTCAGCACCAGGTGGTTCACGGCCCCAGGCAGGTTAAGCAAATGTGTCACTTTAATAACCCGGAGGCGGCTGGAGCCATTAGTGAGAGGGGAGGATAAATATCACTTGGAGAGGCTCCGGAATCGCCGGTTTTATCACCCAAAATTGTCCCTGTGCTATTTACTTTCAATTTAGGTTTTCGGGGAAAGTGGCTCTGGGTATAGTTATGTATGAAGGAGGGCGACCAGAATTGAAAAATGACCCGATTTCGCCATCTGAGACCCAAACGAGCCTTGTGGTTGTTTTTGAGTCATTGTCTCAGTATCTAGTGGGGACCCGGGCTCTAGGTTCCGAGGCTTGAAGAGCCGCCTGACATGCTGGGCCTCAGCTGGCTTACTGGTGGGGAAACTGAGACTCGGGGGGTGGTCCTTGTGAACAGTGTGTCTCTGCTTCACAGCCTG